TAAAATGCTATATGCTAACATAGTAAGTAGTTAGCAAACTGAAGGACAGATTAAGTTAGTTATTTTATACTAATTTATGGTTTACTCTGCTTCTGAATTCCTGTTCCTGCTGTTACAGTTATTCTTCAAAAACCCTGGATTTGTAAAACGCAATTACCACCTCTCCAGCCTGGCTAGGACAGATCCTTCCTCTTACTCCCTCCAAAGGTCAACGTGGAGACTGAGGTGGTGAGCTGCCAGCCTGCTGTTTGGAGCAAAGGAAGAGACTGACTGAACAAAGAGGGTCTTCTTTCTTGTCTGACCCCCACTTCTGTCCTTGTAAAGAGCAGCAGGAGGCTTGGGGACAGGAAAGAAAGCACTTTGTGCTGTGGAGGCCACCAGCCTCACTGGTTAATCAGCATTAGAAGGTGTGTCTCTGGAGCAGTCAGCCACTCTGAAGGGACTCTCTTCCAGAATGTAATAAAACATAAATCTATCAGTCATTAGACCAGCTTTAAAAGTCTTATTTCTTGGATCAGTTGTGTCCAGGTGCACCTTCTATAGACATAATAACTGGTCTTGTCACAAATGTATTAACCTTATAGCAAAAAAATTAAGAGAAACACAATGTCAAAGATAAGTTTTTAGAGAGAAAGATATGAATAAATGTCAGCATCTAGATAGCAGCAGTTAGATTTATTCCTGAGTACAAAACAGAAAAAGTGTTTTTGCTTTGCCATATTTCAGAAAGGGAAGACTTTCTTCCCCAGAATTCCCAGCCATCTCCATTGCCTTGTGCCAGGAAGGTGGACCATTATCTTTTATCAGTATGACCCCAGTGCCAGGGAAGGCTATGGAGCAAATAATCTTCTGTGCCATTATGCACCATATACAGGGCAACTAGGCAATCATGCTCAGTCAGCATGGGTTCATAAAAAGCAGGTGCTGTTTGATGAAACCAATCTCCTTCTATGACAAGATGACCCACATAGTGCATCCACTATGATGAGGGAAAAGCAGTGGACATTGTTTACCTGGACTTCAGCAAGGCCTTCAACATTTTTTCCCACAGCATTCTCGTGAAAAAAAATGCCTTGAACGAGCATATGCTCTGCTGGATGAAACATTGCCTGGACAGCCAGGTCTAAAGGGCAGGGAATGGAGATAAATCTAGTTGGTGGTCAGTCACAAGTGGTGTTCCCCAGGACTCAGTATTTGAACTACTTAACATCTTTATCAATGATCTTGACAGGGAGATAAAGTATACCCTCAATAAGTTTGTAGATGATACCAGGTTGGCTGGCAGTGTTGATCTGTTTGAGGGTAGAAAGGCACTTTACAGGGACCTGGACAGGCTGGATTGATGGGCCAAAGCCAATGGGATGAGGTTCAATAAAGCCAAGTGCCGAGCCCTGCACTTGGGTCACAACAATCCCAGGCAGTGCTACAGGGCTGGGGAAGAGTGGTTGGAAAGCTGCCTCGCAGAAAGGGACCTGGGGGTACTGATTAACAGCTGGCTGAATATGAGTGGCCAAGAAGGCCAAGAGCATCCTGTCTTGTATCAGCAATAGCATGGCCAGCAGGACTAGCGAAGTGATTATTCCCCAGCATCCACACTGGTCAGGGCTGCACCTTGAGTACTGTGTTCAGTTTTGGGCCCCAAAAGATTATCTCACTTATGTCACTAACATAGGGACATTGAGGTGCTAGAATGGGTCCAGAGAAGGGCGTCGAAGCTAGTGCAAGGACTAGAGAAAGTTATGAGGAGCAGCTGAGGGAAACGGGGCTATTTCTCTCAGCTTATTGATTTGTGGGCAAGTATGCAACCTTTTATATATACTCTGAGTACTTCCCAAAGCATTTAGGCTCTGAAGATATTAAATATCCCTGAAAATTAACATGATAATCTCCCAGATGGGAGTTTATGTCTGCTTTATCCAGAGGTGCAATTGCAACATGTACAGAAATATTCATGATAGTTTTAGTCTAGCTTTCTCATTCAGGTTCTACCAAGAACAAGATTATGTCAATAGGGACACTAGTAAAACCTGCATAAATATGTCTGTGAATCTGGAAAAAATGTTTGAGACACTTGTTGGTTTAGTAGAACAAGGAAGACCAAAAATCAGAATATTTGAAGCAGGTCAATATTGGAAATATTGGAGTGGAGGAAAAGTGAGAAGTAGACGAAGACAGACTTCAGAAGAGTAATACTTAAATATGGTGCTGAGAGTGTTTAGGGAAAGGCAAAGAAAAGGGATGAGGTGGAAAGAATTATTCTGGAAGAATCTTCTAAGAAGGCAAAAGAAACTGTGACACAGAGAATAATAATACAGATACCAGCTAGCAGGTGAAGGCTGAATATGACCTTCTAAATAACATTACCACCAACAGAGCTATTGAATGTCACTATATAGAACAAGTGAAGCATTTTTATAGCCAGTCAGTTATGGGAGGAGATAAGTATGCAAAGAAACTCTAGCAATTGCATTCAGTATCATGGAGAATGTGTAATTAGGTGAATCACACTTTAAGTATATAAAGATAGGTAATAAATTAAAAAAATAATCCATTACGGAACAAACTGACTAAGTACAGAGAATTAATTACAGAGTGAACTAATTATGCAGAGAATTAATCACAAAGCAAGTTAGTGCAAGAGAATACAATTGAGGAGGTGGAGATGAGGCAGTGAGTAGCCAACCAAGAAGCCAAAAGTACCAGGTGTACTTTGTGATGTAAGTGACCAAGTTTTAACCAGATGGGCTCCAATTGTGCCCTCCTGCTGGGTATTTGTATGTGCTGGGAATGTCATGCTGCCTTGTGAAGTACTAGGAGAAAAGGAGAAGGTGGTGTCTGGTTTTGGCCATGTGAGAAGAAGGGAGTGAAGATAAGCTCTATTCAGTCTTGTGGATTGTGTTTTAGGACTATGGAGCTGCAAGATGTGACTATGATTAGAGGCTGCACTGGTCTGCTTTATTCTGGTTATACTCAAGAAACTAATTAGAGGTCCTGGAAAGGCTTTTCTTTAACCAGCTTTACCATCTCCGTTTAACTGCTCTCCATTAACTTCTGTTGGTTGAGCACTGGCTGTGCTTTTAATAACCCTCTCCAAATTTGTACATATATCACAAAATGCTTTCTCTGGTCTCTTGTCCTTTGCTTAGCCACAGATATTCTTATTTTCTTCTTCTAGTGGCTGTCCCCATGATTTTAGGTCTGACACAAATTTCACCAAGTTTTGTTGAAGTCTTTATCTAGACCTTCTTGTGAACTGCATGACACCAGCCTGACTGTCCTGCCCAGAGACAATGGAGTTCCTTGTAAAGCTCACATGATGAGGACTTCTATATGGGGTACTGAAATTCATAAGCTTCTTCTGAGGTGTGGGGCCTGTGTACATTCTCTGACTTGGATAGGTGTTGTCCATCTAAGTCATTAATACCCATGTGCAGAAGGAGAAACTATTTTGTGGCTTTTTGAAAATGTGACTGGAAGCACCTTCCAGAACACCAGAAATCTGAAAAAAAAAGAAATCAAAAAACATGGGGCCTAACTATGTTATTATATTTTCCTAAAGTAATTGATGAGGTAGTTGCTTCTATGCCACAATTTATTTTGTATTTTAGAAGGGGGGAAAAAAAAAGTAGCTTAATATCCCAAGAAATAGATTCATGAATTGCATTAATCTGTAAAATTAGATCAGATTTTGGATGGAAACAAGCAATTTTCTATAATGGTACTTAATTCTCTCATGGGGTAGCATCTGTGATTTTATGTTGCTAAAAAGCCAAAAAACATCAGATTGGATTTTTTCTGTTATTGGTTTATTACTATGGTTAAGTAATGTCAGATTTTGTTTTCCCTTGATTAAGTGCTACAGCCAATTTATAACAAGATAATTGCATTAAATGGATTTTGTTTAAAGTTTTATTATATGAGGAAAGGAATTGTCATACTTGTTATGATTACACAAAGCACAAGTAAGGATTACATAAGTTTCCTTGTAGTCCTTTTCCAGTTGCTCCTCCCTCCTTAAATCATCGTTATTAGAGAAAGCTAGAGGTGCCTCAGCCTTTGATTTGCTGCTGAACTGTTCTCCCAAAGGAAAAGCATGAAGTGACAGGAAAGCTGGACCTGCTGGGTTTTTTCCCAGTCCTGGAAGATGGAAAAGGAAAGGGCTGCACGACTCATGCTGTGAGGGGCTGTGAGGGCGGGAATAGGGGATGTGGTCCAGCAAAACCTGTTGCTTTACCTGTCCTGAGCCTTTATTTTGGTAGCTGCTGCAACAGTCACTCTGGTGCTGGAATAAAGAAGACAGGCTTGGCTATTGGGAGGTGGGGGAAGAGGAGGGCAGAATAGCCATGGCCAGCTGCCACTGTTTTCAGCAACCAGCTGCTTAGGCAAATAAATACTTTGTATTACTACCCTGAGCTTTATGTTCCTGTATTCCAGTCCTGGATATCTTCTGAATGGTAACAGAAAATATTTTTTAATGGTAGTGCTTTGTTAAGGACATTTTTTGTTTGCTTTTTTGAAGAATTTTTTAGTCGCTGTTCAACAAAAGAACAGAATGTCAGATAGTTTAAAGTCTGACTCATTTTTGTAATTTTTTTAATATACATGAGAAGCATAACCAAAAGATACATTAAAAAGATCCCGTTTTCTTTCTTAAGATATTTAATACTTTTATTTTAAAGTAAGGTTTCCAAGAAATGATTTTACAGAAAGAGGAAATAGATTTGTTAGACTAGCTGATTGAAGTGGACAAGCTCATGAAGGGACCTTGTGCTTGAAAGCTAGTTGTCTTCTATTACTGTTAGATAGTGCTCATATTTCTGTAACAAATTGTTGTTTTGGGGTCAATGGGAATTCAGAGTTTCTAATTTCTTTCACAAATATAAAGCAAGATCAGCACCTGGCAGAGCATTTGGAAGAACGTTTTTATTTACAGCCCTATACAGTGGGCATATATTTTGCCCAGATAATATTTGAATACTCATAAATAGCTTACTACTGACCTTGTTGCTTTGGTACGGGTTCTGCTTCCTTATTGGCCTCTGCTTTCTGCGGTTCATCTTTGGTTTTATTTTCATCCTTAAAAAAATCAACATGATTAGAAACTGTACATGTTAATTGTTGAGAGTGATAAAAATGGTTTGATGTCTGCAACATTCTCTTACAAATTTGATTAACCAAGTTAATACACACTGAACTTTGTTCCTGTGTGTTCTTTGTGTGTTCTTGGTCAAGACTTTCCAAACAGGTTGACAAAAGGACTTGAATGCTGAAATTAAAAACTGATGCCTTCACCTCTGCTGTGCAAACCCAGTTACTTAACCTAGAGTTTTGCTGCTGCAAGTTCCCAGAGCCTCCTTCATGTTGTCCCATCTGACTTGTTCAGTCAGTTCACAAGCCACTCTACATCTTTGAATTAGTTATTCTTGTGCTTAAAGATTCTGGGCTAATAGGCTTGGTATGTTTTGAGTCACTTTAGTACAATGGCAGACCTTAACTTTTACAAAATCCAGAGAGAATATCAACTTTCACTGCAAAAAATTAACTTCATCTCACACTTACTGGCTTACACCACAAATAGTGTCCTCAGGTACCTGTACCTTGGTTCGTCTTTTGAGGTTCATCATTTGGCATAGTGGCCCTTGGAGGGAGGAGTGAGAAGTGCAAGGGGAGTCTTAGGTGTTCACTGTACTACATAACAATGTAGCATTAATCAAGCCCATGAGCATTTGATATTCCAGATAGAATGAATTTTCCTGGTGTTTATTGTGGTGATTAGTAAAGAAAGATATTAGATAGTAGAAGTATATGAAAAATTATTTCACTTTAGGAGATTTCAAGTCTTCATATACTTTTTCCCCCTCTTCAACCTCAGTTACCTTCTCTATGTTTGAGTTTCTAATATACTGTACTGGTTTGAGGGGGGTGGTGGT